GAGCGGACGCCGACGGGCGGCCGGCGGCGGGGATGGCTGCAGGCGTTGCGGGGGCGGGCGTGCGAGGACCGAGGAGCCGACGCCGACGCCGATGGGCGGGCGCGGAGGCGGCGGCTGGCTATGGGCGGGCGAGGAGCAGACGCCGACGGGCGGCCGGCGGCAGGAATGGCTACGGGCGTTGCGGGGGCGGAGGCCGGAGGCGGGCGGGCGTGGAGGCCGAGTGTTAGAAGTATAATATGTTAATTAGAGATAAGAGTCAAATACAAATTATAGAGATAAGATATATTCTAGAGATAGAATCCTAGAGATAAGATAGAGTCCTAGAGATAGAATCCTAGAGATAAATCTACTCTTACTTGTATTGTACTCCAAGTCTCTATCCCCTATGTACTCCTAGAATCCTAGAGATAAGATAGAGTCCTAGAGATAGAATCCTAGAGATAAATCTACTCTTACTTGTATTGTACTCCAAGTCTCTATCCCCTATGTACTCCTATATATACCTCATGAGAGGGTCGATGTAATATATCAGAAAATATAAGAAAACACAATAATACAACATATTAGATTTTTCCACATGGTATCAGAGCCTTAGAGACCAACGTCGTTCGATCCCCGCGTCGCCCTGGGGAGATGAGATCAATCTTATAATCTCCCTGGGGCGCCGCATCTATTAGCTCCACAAATTATCCATAGATTAGATTTTACCAATATTAGAATTAGATCAATTTATTTTTTTGCCACATCGAACCCTACGATCTCCAGGAGCCAACACAACGATGATTTCGTCGCAAGCCGTCGCTCAATAGCATCATCAAGCAGAAGGCGAGGCCGTGGCGTACAGCACCACCGTCCAAGTCGCCGTGAAGCCCGAGCGACGGGAACACCAGACGTCATCAAGCCATCTACTGTTGCATCCATCTACTCAATTGAGAGAAGCACATGGTGCACAGGTGACAGGAGAATCAAGCGTCAAGACACCAAGCAATCCGCATCGATCATCTTCGCCAAGCTCCTATGAACGGCCGCGACGCAAGCCACAACTGCTTCCTCCTCTACATCAGCCATACATTTGTCTTCTCCGACACAACATCGCCGATGGTCTTCATCAACATAGGAACAAGCGCGCCGCCGCCGACTCGTCCACATAGATGGACACCTCGCGTCCTCTGACAGATTAATCTGCAAGACGCTTCATCGACGACATCGACCGCGTCCTCTACGACGGCAACGACCGCGTCACCGACGACGGCATCGATCACGTCATCTACAACGACAACGACTGTATCAACTCGGCATCATTATTGTGATGACCGCTTCACGGCGCAGAAGGACCAACCGAAGTGGTGGCCTCATCGCCAACGACGTCCTCTGACATATGCAAGACGTCCCCAATGGCATCCTCTCATCCTCTGACATCTACAAGATGCAAGATGCTAACAATTGCAGTTTTTGTCTTCACACCATGGCGTGAATTTTTTTTTTTTCGCCTTCGGCTATTTGCGGCTACATCAACTACCATGACTACCATGACCACGACTACTATATGATTGGCTACATCGACGAACGTCTACAACAAGAATCATCTACGACAACTCCAGTCAAAGCGTCCGTGTCATCGCTATCGTCCATGACACTCCCGCTATGACTGCGGGAGGGAATAGAGGATAGTCAAGGGACGACACAGAAGGGGACGCAGCCACCAGGTGGAGGACCGACCATCAGAGATGCAATCGATGATGATGACTCAGAGAGATGAAGAAATAGAAGATTTCAAATCCAGTCGCAATCGTTCGCTTCGCTCCCGTTACGACTGAGGGGGAATGTTAGAAGTATAATATGTTAATTAGAGATAAGAGTCAAATACAAATTATAGAGATAAGATATATTCTAGAGATAGAATCCTAGAGATAAGATAGAGTCCTAGAGATAGAATCCTAGAGATAAATCTACTCTTACTTGTATTGTACTCCAAGTCTCTATCCCCTATGTACTCCTATATATACCTCATGAGAGGGTCGATGTAATATATCAGAAAATATAAGAAAACACAATAATACAACATATTAGATTTTTCCACACCGAGGCCGGCGGCGGCCTGAGTAGGCTACGCTGATCCTCCATCCCGCGAGCTAAGCAGGGTGGCGCCGCCGTTGTCTGTCCATCTGCTGCGGCTATGGCGAGCGGCGGCAACTGCGGCAGGACGCCAGGCCGGTGACGGGCGTTGCGGGGGCGGTGATGGCGCGCGGCGCGGCCCACGACGGCGACTACGGCGAGCGGTCTCCCCCCCTCTCTCTCTGTCTCTCTGTGGCGCCGGCGGCCAACGGCAGAGGTCTTCCCCCACCTCTCTCTCCTCTTCCCCCCTCTCTCTCTCTCTCTCTGTGTCGGCGAGCACGGCACCCCGGCGTTGGCCGAGGACGAGCTCGGCTCAGCGGGGAAGGTGGGGAAGGTTGTATCGTCATCGTCGTCCGCTGCTATTGCCTCTACAAGCTCGCGGCACCCCTTCCCCTCGCCGTCGCTCCCCGTCTCTCCCTCCCCTCACCGCCACCCCCACTCCACCGTCACCGCCGCCTTCTTTGCCTGGACCACCACCACCACCACACTGCAACCGTCCGCCTCCTGCAAAGCTCCATCTCGCGCGTCGCCGCTAGAGATGGCAATGGGCCCCACGACTCGAGACCCGATGGGTTTTTACTCCATTAGGAGTTCTTAACAGGCACAAAACCTTACCCATGGGTGTGCTATCGGGCATAATTCTCACCCATCGGGTGGACCGGGTCCAATAGCGTTCTATAGTCACCCGAACCCATTAACCCGTAGGTTAAAAACAACCGCATGGCCTAGCCCATGAGTGTAATTGGCCCAAGGCCCAACAAGGAAAAAAAACCCCTAGCTATATAAGTTGTCCACCCAAGCAACACTAAGCTCCATTTCTCTCCCTCCTCTAAAGCCGCACACAGTGGGAATGGGGATAGCGGCGGCGGGGGCGGGCCGGCGGCTCGCGTCACAGAGGCCGTGAGGTGCACCAGCCTCACGAACGCTGCCTCCTCCTCACGAGCCCCGCTGCCATCGCTGCCACGCGAGACGCTGTTCGCGAGCTCTGGGCCTCTTGTGCCGCTGCGGCCTCCTCCCGTGAGCGCCGCTGTTGCTGGATCCATGCGTATCCGTGACCGCCGCCGCCGCCGCCGCAGCTCTTGCGACCTGCGTCTCCTTGCTGCTCACCGAGACCATTGCTGTAGCATGCAGGCAGCAACACGTGCATCTCCACTCACTCGCCATCATCATCTCGCCCACTGGCCTACCTATTTCTGTTGTGCTTCTCCTGTTTGTGATGTTAATTGATTTGTTTCATCCAAGTTTGATATGGCGGTTGGGTTCAATTGTCAAAGCCAAGTAGCTAACAATAGCTTATACTGTGATCTGGAATGGTTTGCTAATACTGTGGTTGTATTTATGTCAATTGAGGTGTGATGTGCTCTCTTAACCGTGCCACTTTTTATGTATTATCATCTGACATGTTGATTTTGCAATGTGGCCATATGGTTTTCCTGGATCTGATTGTTGCACAATGTTTAACTACTGTAATGGGTATGGGTACCCGTTTACCCATCACTTGCGTGGGTATGGGTATGGGGAAATTTCTCACCCGACAGCAGGTGTGGGTAATGAAATGGGCAAGTTCACTCTCCATGGGTGTGGGTACGGGGGAAGAGAACCCGATGGGTACACACCTGTTGCCATCTCTAGTCGCCACCGTGGACGCGGTCGCCGACAAAGTGCTTCGCATTCGCCGTCGCCGCTCGCCCTCCCAGGCGCGCCCGCCGTGCTCCCCAGCGGATGAGAGAAGAGAGAGAGAGAGGGGGGGTGAGGTAGGATGACAAGTGGGCCCAAAGTTTTTAAATATTTTTTTAAATGGATTGCCACCTGGCGCCACGTGTGTGCCACGTAGGAGCAAAACCACTCCGGGTTGAGCTGGGGGGGAGGGGGGGTAATTTGTCCGGTTTCAATAGTTTAGGGTATCAAATGTCCGTTTTTGAGGTTGGGGGGTAATTCGTACTGTCGCGATTGTTCAGGGGGGTAATTCGTACTTTTTCTAAAGTAATATGAACCATTGATCTTATTTGATCGAAGGGTTCAGATCTATCTATGCTACCACCCTAGTTAGTAGTAGAAACGTAATGTGTGGATGGGTATAATCATCATTTAGCAGTGGCTAAACCTTTTCTTTAGCTTTTTCGATGGAATATGAACGATGCCAACACAATGGATGACCACATATCGATCTAACTAGGAAAAAATATAAATGACAAAGTTACTCATAATCAATGTATTGGTAAATTACTGATTTACCCTTAATACTACTGGTAGTATTATACAACCAATAGAGAGCACCAGGGTATCGCTCATGTTCAATTAATTATATGGGTTCCAACTAAACGTTGAATGGTACATATTCTGGCAAATACTGAATCTACCGGGTCCATTGAAGTCAATTAGAAGATCTCTCCCATCTTGAATTATAAGTCAAATTAGTTACAAGGTTTACATGTTGTAGATGAAGGTTTGGTGTTATTCTCACTTCTAAACGTACTAGTAATCATGCCGGGGGCCCGGGGGGGGGGGGGGGGAGGTGCGCATTGAGGATAAAGTATTGGATCTGCTGGTTACTCATGCAAAGCGTATGAACGTGTTGTGCGTGATGAAAGGAGGACAACTCCACGTTTATAGTAAAGATGAACAATCGAAAGCCAATTTTGCGAGCTGGACAAAATATGTGAAGGGTTGGTGTGGTGATGGTGCTTAGAAAGCATGTGTTTGCCGACAACTAAACTGATCAACGCCCGAAAGACAGTGCTCTCCTTACACCTCTACGACCTTCGCTCACTTCGGCTGATCAGTGATTAGCCAATTGTGGACAAAACCCAACAATAAGCAATAGTGCACAGACCTGTCCCGAAATTATACACGAATAGTGAGGACTCAGGACACTCCACAAAAGGTGAAACTAACAAGACTGTCTACCAATAACCAACCATGTTCCATTTAATAATTTCTTTTTTTTTTTTGTAACATGTTCCGTCTTATTGACTAACAGAGCATAATGTTACTCCTCCCCGTCGCCAGTGGCCAACGCCATTGCCGCACCAACAACCGAGGTCCAATGCCTACGCCTACGAACCACAGGTGGTCCAGCTGCCAGCAAGCGCGCGCATGCCGCGTTCTGGTTGCCGCACCGCCACGCCACGGCCACCGGTGGACGCCGCCGCGCGGTTTTATTACCTCTAGGCTTCTTTGTACTATCACTGATTCACTGTACAGCGTGTGTATGTGCGAAACGTGGTGGCTAGCTATTGGCCGTCGTCGCGCTTGTGGAGGATCTTGCCGGCGAACACGGCCGTCTCGATGACCCCCCTGATGACGGACGCCGTCTGGCCGACGTTGCACTTGTTCCCCGGGAACGTCGCCCCGCTCACCCGGTCGATGCAGCTCAGCAGGTTCTCGTTGCACATCGTGTTCAGGTAGTCGTCTGCAAAAACAACAGGAAAAGCCAGTGAGTGAATGAGTGAGCCGGAGACGCACATGATGTGACGAACTGACGATGGACGATCGATGTGCCATGGGCCATGACAAGTGTACACCAAATTCACCACATGCACACTTGGGGGGCCTTCGGCGCCGCGAGGTCAAGCTTAGTGCGCGTGCACGACGTCGGCGGCGCGGCTCATCTCATGGTCATGGGTCGAGCAATATGTGGCTAGCTTTGCAGCGGCGGCGACTCGTGCAAAACTGCAAACCGTGCGCTTTGCAATAACCCAATCGCTGGTATACTAACACCGCTGGTTTTTGAGACATGATTTGATTCGTTAGGTGGCGCGTCGTCTCGCCAGCATCTGGCATGAGGTTGAGGCCTCAGAGTCAAGGGAGACCTTTTGTCCCCCCTGCTGCAGTGCTGCTGGTGGAGGCGTCCGGGCGAAGCAAATATCTAGTATCTCTTCTCGATCGGAAGGAAGTTCAGAGTTCGGAGAGTGAAGAGAGAGACAGAGAGATGATACCGTTGTGGGTGTCGACGCAGTGGTCGTGCACCATGCAGCAGGCGTCGAGCGCGTCGCATGGCCTCTCGCCGGGGCACCCGCTGTAGAGGATCCCGCAGTACTTGCCGTACCTCAGCAGAGGTGCAACTTTCAGAGGTCGTCGGTTGCATCACGGACACCCAGCAAAAAAAGGCAAAATGCGTGTCAGCTCCCTTTGCCGGACGGCCGGAACACCAACTCAAGAATGCATATCATGTTCAGTCAAATTAACGGTGACACGGAAGGATTCAAAGACAAGAAGTCTGCATCTAATGCCTTGGCTAGCATCATATGCTCTGCTTGTTTTTTTTTTTTTTCATTTCAGAAGCAGGGGGAAGAGAAGCCCCAGAACTGCAAAGATTTCTCTGCTCTGTAGGCAGTATCAGCCTGTCAGATTATTAGTAAGAGGAGTGGCGTACTACGTACTTGTGCAAAACTGGGATTCGCACGTCCGGCTACATCCCTGGTCCTTCTGCGCCGAAAACAAACAAAGCCAAAGGCGAAAATCAATCAACTGATCAATAACAAGTAACTGCAAAAAATCAGACTTGGTCAGCTAGCTCCACGCTGGTTCTCACCGCCGGCGTGCTGCCAAGCAGGTCGCCGATGTTAAGCCCCCGCGACGCCGTCACCAGCAAGAGGAGAAGCAGCACGGAACACCGAGGAGCGAGCTTGAGGAAGAACCTCATCTCGCTCGCCTCGCCCGTCGTGTTTCTCTTTGCGCGTTCAAGCAAGAGCGCGTGTTGGATGGGCCGAGAAAGAAACGGGTGGAGAGGTGATGATCTGCTTCCGGAACAGGCACCAGCTGAGCTGATTATTTATACTAGCAGCTGCGATGAGTGATGAAAAGTACATAAATTTTCTGAAGAGATATTATAGTATTTGTGTTGGTGAGAGCTGCGAACTTGAGGTGAAGAAGCTTCGGATGTGCCTGTCCTACCAAGATATGAAGACAACAACACCCTGATCAGATCACCGAGCCGTTTCCTATCCCTTCGTTGTGGTGGTTGGCTGATCGTAGTTGCACTTGATACTAGTATCTTAAAGCAAAAGGAGCAGTATCATTTCTACAAACTGAAAAGTGAACACTGCAGGGGCAAACGCTTGTTTTTTCTTAAAAAAATGTAACCGTGTAATATCCCAATTAAATGAGACTAATCCTGATTAGTACACTAAAATACTAGGATAGCAAAGTTGGTTGCAGTGATAGGTACACTCCAATCTCACTGAGCCAATATTATTATTGAAGGCATATGACAATGCCATTACTTGCAAATGCAGTTCAAGAGTTGCCGTCAGCCCGTCACAGGAGAACACCAGACAAGTGGCTGCAGTTCTTTTGTAACTTCTGACCTATACGTCTATTTGGCATGCAAATGTTAATATGATCAGAGTTCAGGATCTCTATCCTTTTTGCCATCTCAACTTCTCAAGGCACACCAAACAACATATAGAAAAATGAGACATATTTCAGTGTTTGACCACATCCATATGGAAAGCCCAGCCTGCACCAGCCTTGGTTACTTAAATGCTACAAGAAGCGGTATCAAACTGTGGCTGTTTGGGCGTCTCTCTGAAGAAATGACCCGGTAACCGCAGAGCCCACCCAACCGCTGCACATTTCAAATTGTTTGGGCCTAGAGTACAGGCTCCTCTAGAACGAATGGAACGTTTCACCCAGCCACCCAATATCAATACTAGTTGAAAGCAAGTTTACGAGCATAGTTCAGGTGGAGACCGGAGATGCTTCGACCCAACTCACAGTTTCGTGTAAATCCCATCTCATGTTTCGTTCGATCTCTATCTACCAGCTAGAGTTAAACTAGTACTATATATGTATTAGTACACTCATGTTAGAGTGATTATATGTTCTTGTGCTGTTGACTATAATCTGATACACGTGTGGGAATATAGGTTGTGTTTAGTTCAGCGTAAAGTTTAGATTTTGGTTGAAATTGGAGATGATGTGACTGAAAAGTTGTGTGTGTATAACAGGTTGATGTGATGGCAACAGAAGGAGCTTTCAGCTACCTCTCTTTTAGCCAAGATCAAGGAAGAGGCCAAAACTTAGGCTTTAGCAGGAGCGAGAAGTTTTAATAGCTGGTTTTTTTTTAAGTTAGCTCGGACCAAAGGTCTTAGCTTCTTTCTTTTTTTCCTTTCGCTTTCTAAAGTTCTCCTTCTCTATTCAATGAAATTGGCGCTCATTGATTCGTTCAAAAAAAAGGTTGATGTGATGGAAAAAGATTGAAGTTTGGATCCAAATTTTGGATCTAAACACAGCCATGTATGCAGGGAGTTGAGAAAACAGAGAGCTAATGTTGTGTGATGACTGATGAATTGAAGTCTTTGGATCAGTTAAGACGGAATTGATTTTGCGGGTTTGCCCCAGCAAGGCTGTGTTTAGTTCCTGAAAAAAGTTAAAAGTTTAGAAAAAAAGTTAAAAGTTTATGTGTGTAGGAAAGGTTTGGATGTGATGTGATGGAAAGTTAGAAGTTAGGGGTAGCTGGGGGTGAACTAAACACGGCCCAAATTGAGGGACACGTACGTAGCCCCCAGTTCTACTCCGATCTAGCTACTAGGCCGTCTGGGAAAGTGACGGCACGAGTGCACGACCACACGAGGCCGTGCTCCACAAACAAACCGAGGAAGCTCCGAAGCTAGGCATCTCAGTCTGCACTCCACATGCCAAAAACTGGAGAAATGCAATGAAGCTGGGCATGTACAACTTGGCGTCTGCACAGTCCAAAAACTGTGGTGCAGGTTGCAGTGAAGCCAGTGGCACAGTGCAGTCTTTGGTTTCAGAAATCAGAAACAGAGCAAAAACGACCGGGAGGAACGCATCATGACACTGTTCCGCTACATTTATTCTTCCCTTCCACGAACTGTGCTTTCTTCGAGATAGATATAATAGTATCTCCTCACAATTTTATGTATGCTTCATCACTTCACATTTCCTTTTTCTTCAGACAACGGTACACCGGCTCACCTGTCCGGCTCCCACTCCCTATTTACTCCCAAAGTAAACACTAATTGACAAACTCCATATGCAAAATCTGGCGAGGAAGCGGCAAATAGTGTATATGGGGTGTGTTTGGTTACAGGGCACACTTTACTTTTTTTTTTTAAGACTCCCAAAGTAATAACAAATTGACAAACCCCGTATGCAAAATCTGGCGAGAAAGCAGCAAATAGTGCATATGGGGTGTGTTTAGTTACAGGTCACACCTTACATTTTTTTTAGAGAAGGTATTTTTTACCTGACCTCTATATCCAACCGGATATATGTAGTCTTTTTAAATTATAAACTTAGCCTATCAATCATGGAACTTAGCCCTCAAATAACTCAATCTAAAATTTGCTCCTATAGAGATTTGAACTCAATCTTAGGGTGCTACTCAAGTCACTGTCAGCACTAGGCTACATGCACTTACACGGCCGCACTTTACCATTACTAAGGCTAGGTAAGTTGTGGTACCCATAAAGTGTGGTGGATAAATTGCTAGCCACAAGCTCACAAAGTGTGGCAAAGTTGTTGACAATAAAGTTAAGTCTATGATGAATAATAAAATTAAGTCTATGATGAATGGGACATGTTATTGAAAAAAGTGTGGCAATCCACAAATATGGAAGTGAATTACCAAACACATATCTAACAAATTGTGACAACCAAAAAGTGTGGCCATGAACGACCCATGATCTTCACGCTAACTAGGTGATTTTTCAAGTGTTGATTATGGGAATTTCTAGATAATACTCTAAAGTAGAAGTTTTTCATCCGGTTTTTTATTTTTTTCTGTGAGCCTCTGAAGGTGAAGTTTATCAGCATAAATCATGTTGTACAGTTATTTATGTAGAAATATAACACATAGAATATTGTTTATATTGAAATATGAGAACACGCTAAAAGTTTTGCGTATTTCTCAGTAAATGTGCTAAGTGCATGTTGATAGCAAGCAAATAAGTAATGGAATTTGCAATGAACAGCTAAATGTCTAGGTGAAATCCAATGATGACAAATTGACGAGAACATGCCTCAATGCGTTGGCTCCTTTGATCATGCAGATTGTACGGCTAGCATTATTATATCTTCTCTCATATAATAATAATATTATATATATATATATATATATATATATATGAGTAAATTGCACCCACGGTGCATTAACTTGGTAGGTAGGTGTAATTTGATGCAAGAACTTGAGAAATGAGCGTTCTAGTACAACAACTTGGCAGGTAAGTGCAATTTAGGACAAGAACTTTATAAGCAATCGCATAAATGCAATAACTTGCAAGATATGTACGATTTTGATACAATAAGTTAAGAAGTTATGCAAAAACTTAATTATCTGGAGCACTTTTTTAATACATATTTAATTTTCAAGTACTTATTTTGACAATATACTAGCGTGGATTTGTATATAAGCATATTTATATTTTTATCCTAATAACTAATAACTGAAAATCAATTAAACTGTATGTAGAAATTATTATATTTCGGTTGAGATTTGGAAATGTGAAGAAAACAAAAATTCTTAAAGATAATTGGATGTAAATTGGATGTGCAGTATAAATCTTAAAGATTAAATTCAATATTGTAAAGTAATATCCGTAGGACTGCTATATAATAGCATATTGATATCGCGAAAAAGAACTCACCTAGCATATGCTTAGCTAATTTGTCAAGTTCTTACACAAGAACGCACCCACTTGTTAAGTTGTTACACTTGAACGTTCAATTTTCAAGTTATTGCACTATATCACACCCACCCGCCAAGTTGTTATACCGTGGATGCAATTTACTATATATATATATATATATATATATATATATATATATATATATATATATATATATATATATATATATATTAATTTACCTATATAGGATACCTATATGGGACTCCATGGTGCCCGGGCTTCAAGGTATAAAACACACAAATTCTCTCAAATTTTTAAAAATTTTCAAATTGTGAGTATATACCTAGCTATATGAATTTGATTCATACAAAAACCTAACAACAAAACAACTCAAACTAAACTTTATTTCACAATTCATTATTAAATACCTAACGAATTATATGTTTGGATGTTATATACCTAGAACCAAAATCTAACAAAAAAAAAAGTTCAAACTCGGTTCAAACTTGTTTGAACTAACGTAGTAAAGAAGTTAAAGTTCATATCTAAACATTTAAAAAAATTCATACTCATTCAAATTAAGTATATACTCAATTTGAATCTTGGAGCCCATACTCCATGTAGCACCAGTTAATTTACCTATATATATATATAATTTATTATTAAAATATATTAAAATGACAATATAATTTTAAATTTTATATGAACTTTATCAAACTAACCAATGGGTAATATTCATATTGTACTGCAAATTGTATGTACGTGATAGTATTAATTATTTTTTAATACCGAATTTTAGTTATTTCTAAATTGTATTCCTCTAAGGACTCTAGATTTCTCTACCAGTATTCTTTATTTTTAATTTTGAATTTCCAGTATTTACAAAATTTATGCCTATATGGATTCTAAACTTTCTTTCAATATTTTTTATTTTTAAATTCTGAATTTCACTTTTTTAAAAAATATACTTCTATATGGACCATAGACTTTTCTTCCAATATTTATTATTTTTTTAATTCCAAATTTCCGTTATTTGTAATAGTATTTCGACTCTAGAATATTCTTCTTCTAATATTTCTTATTTTTAATTCTAAATTTTTATTATTTATAATTATATTTCGATATGGACTCTAAACTCACCTTTCATCATTCCTTATTTTTTTAATTCTAAATTCTGTTATTTGTAAATTGTACTTCTATATGGACTCTAAACTTACCTATC